TTCAATTCTGATCAGAATTTTTGTGTGAGGCACACATACCCATGCTGGACATCTACACAAGGAGATTTTGAGTTGCTCTTACAATGATTAAAGAAAGGGCAGTTTCTTTGCCCGTATTGCCTCATCAGTTACTTAGCATACTATAGTATTAGTACAAGATTATCTATAAAAATCCTCATCTCCAGCCTCGAGAGTCTTATTTCATTCACAGAAACACACAATGGTCTTGTCCTTTTATTTGCTATTCCTATGCTGAGATTTTTTTAATTATTATTTCTTCAGTTTTGCAAATTCACATTTGTAAAGTATGGGTTAAGGTCACATCTACGAATAACAGAAGGCTGAATCAATCTTTATTTATTAAAGTATTTTAAAAGTTTGTCTCATGAAAAGCAATTAGTGCTAGTAGTTGCTTGTGGGTTAACTGTGGCCCAGGTGAACAACCAACAAATCATCAAGATACAAATTGATGACTACAAGGTGAAATTACATTTCTACCTAAAAAAACCCCAACAACAAAAACCCAAAAAACCTTCAGACCAAAAAAACCACAACAACCAAACCCACAAACCCCCCCCAAACCACCCACTCCCTACCCCCCAAAACCTTCCTTCAAGTACGGGAGCTTTAGAAGCACATGTTCTTGTAGTTTTGGCAAAGCTCATTTGCTGTTCTTAATTGCTAGGATGTATTTCAAAAGAATTATCTTTCCATCCCTCCATATGTGTGTGCACATTTTAATGGGATGTCAGTTTTCATCTGTCCCCTACCTCGTAACTGCTGTGGTCAAATGCTGCATTTTTCACTGTGCTCCTAGAAACACCACCTTCCTTTCTCAGGTTTGAGTGTGTGAAGTTGTAGTAGTATTTCAGTATAAATGTCTGCTCTGCTGGAATGTCATAAAGCATCAGTCACCATGAGTTCCGTAAATACAGAGCTGTACTATGTTAGAGGAAGGAAAAAAAATTGGTAACAGTTGTATAGACCAATGACACACAACAGAGTCATTTTCTGAACTCTTTGTAAGAGGTGTTTTCAACTACAAAGGTTGTATTCAGGTGGATATCTTCTCTTTCAATGAGAATCTTAAAGGTGGAGGAGGAATTAAGATTCCGGACTCCTGTGTTGCAGATGTCCATGGGTCTGCTGTGTGTAATGTGCACATGGACTTAGATGTTTTAGGGAAGCTCAATATACCTTAGAGAATCCTAATACATAGGAATTTCAGACAGGGTTGTCTTTGAAGTTTAGATAGTTAACTGCTGTGTGAGATCCTTGACTGAATAGTTGGAGTCCCTTTAAGAAAACATTGTGTTGAATACCAAGACGAGGCACATTTTAACTCCAAACTCAAGCACAACAAAAGCTCAAGTACAGCTTAGCTGGTCTTGTCTTGCTGACATTTTAGGTACATATCTTTCTTAAAGTATTTTTAAGGCTACCCTAGTTGTTCCTATATTTATAGAAAGAACAGTATTCTACTTTGTTGCACAGTAACCTGTGTACATGCATGCATTGTTTGGGAGAAAGTCTCCTGTAACTGACGTAGTGATTTATTGTGTGGATGAAGTGGGAAGGAGCTACTGCAGAGGGAAGATGAGGAGGGGTTGGGCTGGAGGCTGAGGAGGCCTGGGGTCTTCACCAGCCCTGGAAGATACCATACAAACCTGTGTCATCTCTTAATCTGGTGTCTGGTTGTAGTCCCTAAAGCAGCCACCAACAGATGCAGTGCAGGAGCCATGTCTCCTTCATTGGTCTGAGGTGATCTGTTTCTTACAGAAGCAAGTTATAGCTCCTGAATGACCCGTAGAGCACATTTTGAAGAGTTTTTCTTCTTAGCCACCTCTTGCCTACAGAGGTGGCAGGCCCACCAGCAGTGGCAGGTACCGAACGTGATAGCTGTGTGTGACAGTCGAGCTGTGTGCTCCGCGACTCCCAGGTGCAGGTCTGCGGCTCAGTGGCATTGCCTTTGCATAACTGACCTGTTCTTTCACATCAGCAATTTCCCCGAGTGTCAGCTGCTGTAAGAGTAGCCAGCAAAGATGCACAACTCTGGAATATGGTAAAAAGTAATAATCTTCCCCCCAAAATGAAATGATTGGCAGGTCCAAGCTGAGACAATGTTCCATTTGTGCAGATGTGTTATAGCTTGTTTTTAAGGTATGGAGACAAGTTTTATATCTGAGTATTCGTTTCCTTCATGAAAAATACCAAAAAAGTGGCCTTGTGCTCCTCTTTGGAACATGGGCACATGAAGCCTGTTTCTACATTGGGACCTTGATGTCCATTTCAGATTAAATTCTTGTCTAGGATTCCTGCCTTTTTTTAGGAATTTTGACTGGGCTTTTTTTTTTTTTTTTTTTTTTTTCTCTTCTATTGGTTCTGTGTTGTTTTTCTCTGGTAACATACAGCTTGGGATTTGTTTATCTTCTGTATCTTTTGTTTGTGGAGATGTTTCCAAAAGTCATTGTGAATATTTTAATATTTTGTTTTATGTCTTTACTCTGTATTGATTGCCTTGAAACATTGAATGCTCTTGTAATATCCTGAAACATGTATTTGCAACTCTGCTCTTGTAGTAGTCCTTTTTGGTAGCCTGTATCATCTGTAAAAATAGTAATCTCAAAATAATTTTGTAGTGAATTCTTTGTATGATGATTTAAAACTCCAGAAGATAAATACTTTCCTTATCTCATAGGCCAGGCCAAACTGCTAAAAAACACATATTTGGGTCATTGCAGCAATAAGGAAACCCGTTGAAAGTAGTGGCTCAGGGAATGCTCCGCTTTGATCAATTGGAACAGTCTTGCCCTAACTTTCTATGATACTCAAATAACTGTCCTGAATGCAGCTTCAAATGGGTTTTCAGAAATTACAGTCCTAGTGACCTATGGAAATATTTCATGTTATATTGTTTCTTGTGGAATAAGAAATACCAAATGGCATTCGTAATGTCACACTCCTCCTAACAAGGTGTAATTCTGAACTTTCTTCTCCATGACTTTCCAACTCTGACAAGAAATATTAAAACTTTTGTGTTGTGGTTTGTTAAAAAATGTAAATTTATGCTCAAAATCATTTGTCAGTCTCCCAGAAAATTAGAAGTAATTAAATAGAAAGTTCTACAGATTTGTGCCATTTCTGTACCCTCTCATCTCAAGATGGTGTGAGAAGCAGACAATTGTAATAACTTGCTGCTACTCCTTTCCAGCTTAATTTGATCTTGTTCCTTAATTCTGACAGATTGTTTTTAATTTTCCCATCTGTTCCATAAAAATCTCAAGTGATTGACTCTTAGGAAAAAATAATGTCTAATAGCTGGGCCATTTTTAATGAGTTCGAATGAGTTATTTAATGAGACATGCTGAAGAAGCCAAGCCAAGTGAAAGACTTGGTGGATGTAAAGAAAGGTAAAGGGCAACCGTATGCTTCAGGAAGTCTCGTCTCTTCTCTTTACCCTCAGCTTTAGACTGCTGCTGTCTCCAGTTTCAAGCACTGCACATCCTTAGACACATGGACCAAAAAAAACAAAGGCTCAGTGGCAGTAATTCCTTTTCCCCTTTTATTTAGTGCGATGTCTACCCTCAGACAGCTTTGGGGAGGGGAACAGTCATGCAAAGGAAAAAAAAAAGAGATCAAAGAATAATACTTAAGTAAACTTAAAAACATTGGAGGCTGTGGTTTAACTTCATTTCTTCTAGCAACCTACACCTTAACTCCCAGATATTCTAGTGTTAGGTCAGAAAGAACCCCTGTGCCAGTAAAAGGAGTGCATGTTCCCCTCCAGCCTCTCTGAAGGCTAAAGCCTTTGCTTTAAAATTGCCTGCCAATGATATCTCCTGGGGCAGGAAGCCATCAATATGCAGTACGGGTCTTTGCGAATAGCAACCATGAATATAAATGTTAACATCTGGACTTCTCCCTTCTGTTTTGGTTTTTATATATTATTATAATAAACATCAACATTGTTTTTAATAATCATCAAATAGCCATTTCTCTGGCAGCCTGAGACTTCATTATTAAACCAAGTAGTGAAAATAAATATACAGCTCTTTTACAGGGAAAGTTGAAAGTTTGACTCAACTCTGCAAATATGCCATTGTTAGTCTAATCTACTGTAGAATTCATAGAATAATGAATTAACTTTCCAATTGCATACGGTGAGGCATAACAAATGAGAGAATGCTACCATGGTAATGAGCAAAATATACCCTTGTTTTTGCAGGTTTTAATGGGCTACCAACTAAGGAGAGAGACTTTTGTCTGCATTTTTTTTTTAACTAGTAAAATCTGAGAGTAATTTAAGTGAGCAGAGAAATCGGTACTCCACACTTTCAGAGCATCTCCAAATACTCAGCCTGTCAGGTTTCCCTATGACAAAACAACCAAAGAGGACGGGGGAAAGATTAAAATGGGACTTTTAAGCCATTGAATATGGTAGCAATTAAAATTGCTTCTGGTTTAAATTTGCACAAAACTGGACTTGCATGGTGTCTGTTTCAAGGCCCAAGCTCAGCAAGCAGTCACAGACAGGAGATGCTCTGTGCCCATACAGCAGTCTCTGGCTCAGAATTAGACTAGACTGTGCCGAAGAATTAGACTATCCTTATCTGGAACTGATATAAGGGAAAAAAAAGTTTATATTTTTAAAGTGGTTTTTTTTTCTTGTTATTACTATCTAGCAACAATATTCCTAGAGTTAGACTTTTTTTTTTTTTCTTCTGTTGAGGAGAAGGAATTGTTTGGTAGCTTGCATTGTTTGCATGGCAGAAGACAAAAGTGACTTAGTTTTGAGAAAATTCTCATTGGCTTTGGGAACATGACCCATTATCTATCCCTCCTGCTGGATTTTAGACAAGGATCTTGTTGCATTGTGGCTTTAGTAATAAATCTTCTATGTATTTATGTAGTTAAAATTAAATTCACAAAATGTAAGTTTAATAGCTCTGGATTAATCCTTCATAAAGCATTGATCTTTTGTTTTTTATCTTCTTCCTCAGTGTGTCAATCCTGATCTTTAATACTTCCCGGCAGTGCTTTGTTGTGGTGAAGCAGTTCCGCCCAGGTAATCCTCTTTTTTTAGATTTACTTTTGCTCTGTAGTGAAGCAAGCTTTTAAGGGTTTAGCAGTTAAAAGTTGGTGCATCTGTGGTGATAAAATCTTTGTTCTGTATTCTGATTCTTTGTATGATAGCCCACCCTTTTCAGTTGGTCAGAATTCCTAACCAGGAAAATTTCCATTACAGATGAAATGAATGAGCAGGGTAGCCCTATATTCTGCTTTTGGGCTAGTCATTGTCCTCTTTTGGATGAAATTACAAACAGCTCTGCAATTATCATGCAATAGTTTACTTTTATTTGAAAAGTTTCTTCTTGACAAGTTCCTTCTTGACCTAGCTAGTGTTTAGTAGGCAGCTTCTGTGCAGAAGCATAATATTTCTCTTTTATTTTTTTGGTCTTAAATATTCCTGTTTTTTTTTAATGTCTTATTGTGTGTTGTTTACTTGGGAATTTAAAATATGGAAAATTCAGGACTGTATGCTTTTTCATCAATATTTGGACAGCTTCATTTTACCAGTTATTATTATGAATTTAGGTTAATTTATTAATTTTTTTTGTATCAATTATTTTAACTCAAGGCAATGTTTACTTTCTGGAAGTTAAAAATGAAATGCATATTCTCTGCATGTTAATTAAAAAAAATCACAAGATATTTCACTGACTGTTGCTAAGAGACCATTTCAAGACTGTTCACGGTAGACTTTGTAGGAAACTTTGTAGGGTGGTGTCATGCTGTCCTTTCTTATTGACAGTGATTGACAGGCTCTTCAGTGTTGTGCAGCACTGTTACACTGACAATGCATACTTCTCTCGAAGCACTGTATTGACTATTATAAAATGTTTGTTTATTTGTTTATCAATAATCCAATTATGTCTTTTATTTGCCTGCTGAATGAAATGGCTCATATAGCTCTTGCTCTCTTTGAGGCAGAAGCCTTCGTATATGTGCATATATATACATACACACATATGTATATATATACACTGAGCAGCAACATGTTCATTACATCGTTGTATGGAAGTGTCAAATCTGCCTCAAAAGACTGGACTGTTCTTGAAGTTAAAACATTCCAGAGGCTGGAGCTGCCCAGAAACCTGGCTGTAGGGACACCCCACAGCAGTTCAGTGATCGCAACCATGCCCTGACGTTACTCACATCACTAGAATTATATTTCTATTCCATGGTTGTTGTCTGCCTTGGTTCCTGCTCCACAAAGCGAAAATAAATGGTGAAACTTTTCTTATTGCTAACTGCTCTCGGGAAGGCGATAGCTCGTTACTTCTGAGCAAACAGCTGCCGCTCACTCACCAGGCACGTCCCCTGCACGTGTGCTGGATGACATATGTGCTTGCCTTTCCTCGGGGCGTAGTGTCATGATCAGGTTTGCCCACTGAAGTCTGTGCTGCTTGTAAAGGCAGTCCTCCCTCCCTGTATGTACATTCCCACCCCACTCCTTTTGGCAGCACCAGACAGTATGCAGCCACAGCAGAGGTCTTGTATGTCTGCAAACAGAAAATTCTGAGGATTAGGCAGTTTATCTGCCTGGATTGAAAGAGTTCATGCTGGCTTGGGCGGCGGGAGCACACAACCATGGTGAGGCAGACAGGACCATATTTTTCAATGCACTGTGGATTTAGATTATCTTGAATGAATCATTTGGAAGAAGCAGAGAGAAAAAAGTTACAGGTGTATTTCAGTAGTTTCTGTATTAGTTCCTCAGCCATGACTGATTGTCAGAGGTCCATGGCAATGCTCATTTCGGTAGCCAATTGACCACACGATTTCAAATATAATAAAATTATATGTTCCTAGGAAAGGCTAGGGTTAGTACCTTTGAACGTGTGCCCTGTTTTTTGCACTGTAAGCATAATGGCCTTTCAATTGATTGTGATGTTTGTTTTTGCATTCACTTAAAATAAACAGTATCGAAGATCTGAATCATAAGCCATGTTCCATTTCAGGAGGTACTAAACACTGGTGCAATCAAAGAGAAATTTAAAGAAGAACTATCACGTTCCCCAGTCAGCTAAATCCCACTAAACCCTCAGTCCATACTGTTGTTTTCTTTTCTTTAGGGATGGCAAACAAATCCTGTATGAGTCCTCTAACAAGGCTGCTTTGAATAACAGTTGTGATCTTACTTGATGAGTTCAGTTGAACCATCTATCCTTTGTCCCAGCTTTGTAGAAAGGAAGGCAAGTACATTGGTTCTACTGGAGTTTCCATTATGAGACTTCTTACAGCTGAATGGTTCCAGGATAATTAGACAAGATGTTTAATGAGCACTAGATGATTGTTTAAGTCCTCCCTGTGCTGCTGCTCATTGCCTGTGTCCATCTGATGATGGAGGAAACTGTCCAGTGATGATGAAGTGTTTCTGACCAAAGTAGCATAAGCCGTTGGAAGACAAGAGAGCGATCAGACATGGGACTAGGGGGTGGGTGACTGTCATGGGAGCTGAGCTCTTGCTTCCTGCTCTCCAAACTCTTGGGGCATTTGCAATAAGCTGCCAACCTGTGATGCAGAAGAGGAGAGTTGCAGGTTTCCGTCCAAAGAGCGTGCCCTAGCCAACAGGCCACAGACTGCTTTTCCATCCACTACATTACCTCCCCTGGGACATCACTTGTACAATCAATTTTGCACCTTCAGGAGAAGTGTAGGGGACTCCTGCTACCTGGACTGGTTTTCTAGACTTTGCTTATCTCTGAGAGATAAAGGGAGTTTGAACCTTTGTGAGCCTGGTGATACTGAATTCGTACTCCGACTCCTTGGTGAATACTCTAATATTTGGACTCTCTTATAGAAGTGGCTGGTACTGCTTCTTTTCTTCCTTATCTACAGAGAAAAGCTGTTACTGGGCCTTAAGTGTTGGCATATTGCAGGGCTTTGCTCTGAAGAGGACTGCTGGATTAGGTCCTTCTGGGAACGTAGGTTTTGATCTACATGGAGCCCAGTTGTGCTGAGGGAAAAGAAGGGCAGGTGCCTGCTGGAATGACTGGATGGGTTTCAGAGATTCAACAGACTTGCAACAGAGAATTACTTTAATCACAGTTTCATACTCCTGTACTCCACACTCTTACTTGCATTGTGTTTGGATGCTCAAGTCCTTTAGAGGGACAGCTGCATGTGTTGTTCGGTTTTGTGTTTACTGATATGGATACGTCAATGCTAAAAAAGCAATAAAACCGTAAGAGTATTTGGCTCATCTCAGAGAGATCTTGGCAGTAGTTGTCATTGACGGTAATTGTCATAGCTTTGAGAAGTTTTTAATGACAGTAGACACTTCAAGAATCTGTCCCTCAATGTCTGCATGTAATTTTTTTTTTCTGCCTTCATGCTGCATTTTAAAAAGAAAACTGAGCTCTAGTCATGTCTTTCAAGTAAGAAATGGAGGCTCCTTTCCTTAACTGTTTGAATCTCAAAGGCCAAGAGGTACCTACTACAAGCAGCTTTGAAAGTTTTAACTTCTGGAGAAAGATTAGGTTTTGGACAATAGACTTATCTAGAGATCTCCCTTTCAAGTGGTGATCTTGCTATACTACACTTCTGAGGTGTCACAAGTGTTGCAGAAAGAGCCTAGGCACAAATTTCTGGGGTGTAGACTGATTCTTCCTCGGAGACCAAGTGCTTGAGAAGTCACTGTGGTACTTTACTTTTATGCAACAACATTTTTCTAGAGACCTTGTTGTATATCACAGTTTTAAGAAATAATAAGCTAAATCTAGCTGTAAAAACAAAACCTTGTCCATATAACTTGAGCTCTTTTATATACCGTTTATGCAGGATTTAGAATGGGAAATGTTACATGTATATGAAATATGCATGTAAAATATTTTAATGGAATAAAACTAATTTCTAATTTTAAAATAGTTGTATTCAGGGTGTTTTATAACACCCTCATGTTAACCCTTCATGAAAAGCAAGGAGGGGATAGACATGAGGAAATTTCAAAGAAACAAGTGGGATTATTCATTGTTGGGTTTAACCCCAGCCAGCGACCCAGTGCCACACAGCTGCTCACTCCCCTCCCACCCACCCTGGTGGGATGGGGTGGAAAGTTGGAAGAACAAAAGTGAGAACACTCGTGGGTTGAGATAAAGACAGTTTAATAGGACAGCAAAGGAAGAAATAATAATAAAAGAATTTACAAAACAAGTGATGGACAATGCAGTTGCTCACCACCCTCCAACCAACGCCCTGCCAGTCCCGAGCAGCAATCGCAGCTTCCCGGCCAACTCCCCCCAGTTTATATACTGAGCGTGACGTCACATGATATGGAATATTCCTTTGGCCAGTTTGCGTCGGTTGTCCTGGCTGTGCTCCTTACCAGCTTCTTGTGCACCTCCTTGCTGGCAGAGCTTGGGAAGCTGAAGAGCCTTTGAGTTAGTATGAGCACTACTTAGCAACAGCTAAAACATCAGTGTGTTATCAACATTATTTTCATATTAAATCCAAAACACAGCACTACAGCAGCTACTAGGAAGAAAATTAACTCCATCCCAACCAAAACCAGGGCATACCTGTAAGTTAAAGTTACAATGATCTGGAATTGCCAATAGTGATTCTTTGTGTGTTAACATCCAGTCCTGCAGTTCGCACTCTGGCAAAAGTTCTGTTGACATCTGCAAGAGGTTTTGCTTAAATAAGGACTAAAATCTGTCATTTGCACTTTAGGAGTGCATTAGAGTGGCAACTGTTTGTAGATTAATTCAAGAAGACTTTTTCAGACTCCACACAGGAATCTGTGCAAGGAACTATATGTTCAAAAGAGGATTTATTTTTTTCCAGACAAACATACATGTTTTTCATACTCTTTCTAAATAACAGCTGAGTTCACAGGCTGAAAGACTCATCATTGTGCACATGGTACATAATGTGCGACCCAACTTTCCTGCAAGATAACTGCATAGTTTAAATTAAATCCTGATATCCACATTGCCCAACAAGTGGAAGCGGTATGGTGCTTCTGCAACTTCGACTTCTTGGATGAGCTAGCTCCCTTTTTTAATTTTTATTTGTTTATTTTAAGGTGTGCAAGAATTCATTCCAAATTATGTAAGCACAAATAGAGTTTAAAGAATAATTTAACAGAAATGGCAAGAGAACCTTTGTTCTCTAAAATTCTAGTTTCAGTGTGTCATAATTTCAATTCAACTGAATTCCTTGTTACTCACAAGTACTCTGATGGTTATAAATTTCCAGGCAAAATTTGTGTACGATCTTTTTTTTTCTACTTAATATGAATAAACTAACATCCCCCCTGCCTTGTTTCTTTTTCTTTTGTGTTTTTTTTCTTAAGCTGTTTACATGTGTGAAGTGGAAAGGCATCATCCTCAAGTCTTTCAGAATCAGGACAAGGAGAGCTTCTCTCATGTAGAGGATCCCTTACCTGCTGTAGTAGGAGTGACCTATGAACTCTGTGCTGGCATTGTAGACAAACCAGACCTTTCTTTAGAAGAAATTGCATGTGAAGAAGTCTTAGAAGAGTGTGGCTATCGTGTTCCCATTACAGACCTAAGGAGGATCACTTCTTACAGGTAAATAGCAGTAAGTTTAAACACTCTGCATTTTGTTGTTTCACAGATTGCTGGAGTGGCCTGAATGTAAACTAATGTTCCATGTTCCCTTAGTTAAGCAGTGTGTTGGAGGAACATGGAAATTTGAAAGTAGATGAAAGGTGTAATTTTGAGCAAGTGAGAGGAGTATTTACAGAGACTTAAAGAATTATAAACTCATAATTATGGGATTGAATTCCCAGTAAGAATGATACTAGTGTGATTTATTCCAAACACTGTTAGAACTGGGAAAAGTTGCATTGGGCTCTTCAGAGCAGTTTGTTAACAGTGCTAGAAAACAGTCTGTCTTACTGCATCAGGCATTTCCCATCTCTGATTCTTATTATTCTAATTAACAATAGAAACTGTCCAAGTTGGACTCCGATTTACCATTAACACAATTTTGCAGAAGCATGAGAACCTGTGCCATTAGATCTCTTCATAATATTTGGGCTGTAATTAAGCCTTCTTTGATCTGGACAATAATTAATGTTATATATGAAGATTTTTCTGATTTGACTGTGAAAACTTTCACATTATATTTTTTTCAGGGTTTCAGATAGGTATTGAAATAGATTTTAACATGTTTTAAAATGTGTTAGGACTAAGAAGAAAACTTAATATGTAAGAGGAAAAATACAAAATGTGAGTTGGTGGAGGGGGGAAAAAAACTCTCAGGAGAAACTTTGCATGCAGCTTTAATCCCATTATATCTCCTTCACAGCTTTCAGTATTATTATCCAAAATATATGTATGTTTGTATTTTACAGAGAAAGCAGCAGGTTTTTTACTTTCTTTATTTTGCTTGACATCTCCATTGAACTAGGCCCTGTCATTGGTTTTTAATTTGGGAATTGAATACAAATCCACAGCTGTCAATCCTGGCAAATGTTATTTCCTGCTGGATTAACAAGCAGTGCTTCTGTTGAGGGGAGGGGGTGAATCACAGGAGCTGTCTTTTACAACACATTGAAACTAGATGAAGAGTTTGTTCTACTGAAAGAAAAAGTGTCTTCTAGATTTATGAGCAAAAGCTGTCCATAGAATTTTGTAGGTTGGTCACACTGACAGGCTGTAGCTTGCAGATATGTAATATGCATATGTATGTATGTGTATACAAACACAACATAGGAAAAGTAGGATGTAATTTCTGGGGTTCTAAAAGTTTGTAGCTTCAGTGTAGAAGTTTGACTCAACATCAATGATTTACATCTGGCTAAAACACTGTATGTTTTTTGGTTGATAAGTGTCTTTGTATCTTACAGGTGGTTGTTCTTTCAGTTGCCTTTTTGGTTTTTTAATTGCACTGACTTGCAAAGGGAGTATACAGTTGGAGTTTTCTCTGTTGAGACCAGTGCAAAGGGCACTTAATATGTTAATCCCCAGTCCTGCTTTGTCTATGTGGGCACAGCTTTCTGTCCGTGGAGATCCATGCTGAAGTCAGAATGACCTGTACAGTATATACTTTTTTAGATTAATACAAAAGTTTGAAGCCTTAGAGATGGTATTTTAGCATTTCTTTGTTGGAGTTCCTATGCTCTGTATTAGAATTTTATTCTAAATGTTATGGTCTTCCTATTAGGAGTGTCCTGTTCTTTTTCCTTCAGCCATATCAGTCTAATCCTTGAGGATTTGATGCAAAGACGGGAAGTGTTTGGTTCCCCTATGGTCTGCTAAGGATGTTTCTTCTGTAATGGCTATATTACATATAAGAATTTCTGGCCTTTTTTGAAGTCTGACAGGTTTTTCAAAATGGTTTATGCTGCTGTTTCATGCTGTGACTGTCAATCAAAGCATTGACATAAAGTGTTACATTAATGCATATGCATGCTGTTAATAATTACAATACATCATACACTTGTACTATTATCTGCCACCCCAGTGAGCCATGTAATAGTTGCTCTATATTATTTATTGATCCAGTGCATCAGGTCAGAGAGAAGTCTTAGAGAACAGAATTGGAAGGAATTTTGGGAGGTTCTCATCTAGACTGCTCCTCTTCCAAAGTTCAGACTCAGATTTAAAACACTTCTGACAAATGTGCATCTGTGCTTTCTCTAAAATCCGATCATTTCATAGCCTCTCTTGGAGGGTTGCAGCATTTTGTCTGAAGTGTCTTACTACCTGTATCATGAGCAAGGTTTTCCTCATGTCTTGCCTGAATTTCCCTCTCTTTACTTCAAGTCTGAGACTTACTACTCTGTTCCCAGTGGACATGAAGTACTTCTGCACCTTCCATGTATTTGTTTGAACATGACTCCCCTTTATTTTATCTTTGCCTATGCAAAACTACCTTAGTTGATTTAAGCTTTCTCTTTAGACCATGTTTTCTAGATGTCTGATCATTCCTTCTGCTGTCCTCTGCCTTCTCTCCATCTGGTTGGTGTATTTCTTAAATACACCAACCAACAACACAGTGCCCAAAGTGGAGCGCAGTATTTTAGCGAGGGCTTTACCAGTGTCAGATGGAGTGGGAGCATTACTTCCCTAGTCTTACAGATGATTTTGTTTATATGCTGTAATATGATGTTTACCTTTTTTTGCAGTGGCATTACATTGTTGATTTACGGTCCGCAATGCCTTCCCTATCTCAAAACTATTTTCTGTAGCAGTACTGCACCGTCATTCACCTCATGTCTGTATTTGTGCTGTTCGTTATCACTGCTTGAACACAGAGCCTTGAACTTACCTTTATGGAATTGCATCGTATTTTTTCAGACCATTTCTCCCAGTTTCTGGGATTATTTTGAATTCTAATATTCATCTCTAGCTTCTTATAAATAATCTGTCTCAGCTTTGCTACCTGCAGTCTGCATTTCAACATACAAGTCCTAAAACAAAATATTGAATTATATTGAATGGAGGATGGTCCCCAGTAGAATCCAATTTAGTTTGTATTTCAAAATTGACAGTGATATCCATTCCATGAGTACCATTTTCATACTAGTTTTACACCTATTTCACAGCTTCTTTGATTTCTAAGTATATCATGATCTCCGAACTTCTTAATGAAACTCACATTAGAAAGCGTTCAAAGCCTTGATAAACTGAAGTTACATTGTTTGTGTTGCTGTCTCTATGCACAAGACCTGTTACTCTATTATAGCTGATGTTTATTTGACTGCACTTGATATATTCCTGACAAATCTGTTAGCTGTTGTTCCTTTCTTGATGCAAACAAAAAACATTAAAATATTTACGTAACTATAATTAATAATTACTGAGTCAAGTATTTTAGATTTTGTTGCTAAAAACTCAGAGTTGTGTGCATGGTGAAAAGGCTTTTTTACAAACAAGGGTTTCTGTGTCATCACACCCTTTGGTCTGAAAGCAAGGAGCTGTCCTGTGCTCCTAATGACACCCCTTTTTGGAATCATGGTCATGAGAAGGAAATTGCCTGGCTGGAATAAAAACAGGACTTGAACTAGATCTGACAGAAGGACATGGAAAGCAGAAGATGCATCAAGTGTAAAGGGAGAAACAGTTTTGGCTAGGGAGGTCAGTATAGTTCTATGGCTAATGGATTAAAAGGGGGAGGGCATGGACCGTGCATAGGGAGAACTTAGACTAAGGGGAAGAATGGCATAGAAAATCCTTGAGTAGAAAAAGAGGAAGAAGAAATGAAAGAACAACGCAGAGGAAAAACATGGGCTGAAAGCTAAATGGACTTGGGGGAAGTACATTAATTGTGGTGGAGAAGAATTCGCTTTAACAAAACGAGGAACGTACTTAGACTGTATTCAAGCAGAACTTTGCTCTGTTCAGAAGCAGTGGGAGCAGTAAAGATTGGAGGTCATCTGATGGTATTAATTTTTTTTTCTCATTTACTATCAGGGGCTACAGCAGTGGTTTTAGGGGAATTTTTTTTTTATAGATTTTTCATCTAATCAGAAAAAATTAACTACAATACTGCTACAGGTATTTCAGAAGCCCATACAAATAAGCCCTTGCACCCCTTTCTTAAGCTGTGTCAAAGCTCTTGTGACATGATACCCATCAGATAGAAGTCAGGCACTGAATTAACCAGATCTCAGACTTAATTACCAGGCACTGAATTAACCAGATCTCAGACTTAATTACCTTGAATGATCCACAGAGTAGCTGTGGAGTCAAGGAGAAATCAGGAAAGAAGCCAGGAGCTGGGAAATTTACACTAGCTGAGTAAGAGTCTTTGGAACAAGTTGTTCCAGCAGCAGGAGGACAGTATGGCGTGCGTGAATGGAGGAGACTGGATTGGGAACAGATAACAAGAAAGACAAAGATATTAAGAGAGATTTGAATGGAGGAGGTCATTGGAATCACACTTTGAAGAAGTGGAAATATCTATTCCTATTATAGAAAAATGCCAGCCAGAAGGTGAATTTAAATGCAAATGGCTCATTTTGATGTGTAGATGGAGGCAGGACTCATTCTGAAAAAAAACTGTATTGTTTGCAACCTGTGTGATGAGTTTCCTCTTCTTACAGTGGCTACACAAATTGCTACTTTTGTGCTTGGCATACAAAAAGTAACCTCATTTTGGTATTACAAAAAGTTTGTTTTCAATTCTTGCAGAAACTAATCTACTTTTGGAGGCTTCCTGAAAGTTTTGATGCCTACTGATGTGTTGAGGTCTTACCAACTATACGTATGGCCTCAGTCAAAAATAGCATAGGTGGTAGATACGATGGGCGTAAGGGAAGCATTTAGCTCAATAATAAAATGAAGCTAATACTCTAGTGGTATAGTTGTAAACTGAGGCTTCGTGAAAATGATTGCCAGTTAAACTGTTCATTTTTAAAAGCTCTAAAAGAAATCTATGAGCTTCCCTCCAGTTTGTTTGTTTGTTTGTTTTTTTCCTAAATGCGAATTTTTTTAAGTGAACAACTTTGGACTTACTTGTATATCAGATATAACAAATTTTTCTATCTATCATGGTATCCCAGCAGTTTTCAGTTTGAATCCCATGTGAAATACAGCTGTCTGTTAGTTTCTAAGTTTGA